GGGCTATATATCCAACTTTGTGATGGTCTTCCCCCTTTCCCCTCCCAAACCATTGCCCCACCCTCATGATATCACTACTCCCACTACTGTTCCTGAGAGGTTTATCTGTCCTGAATTCCATGTGTCAAGAGCTCTTATCAGTACCAATGTGTGCTCTCCAGTCTAGCCAGATTTGTAGGGTAGAACTGGCTGATGGTATTGTGGGAGAGGAAGCATCCAGGAATTAGAGAAATGAGGTGTGTTTCGTTGGTGCTATACTGCATCTTGGTTGAAACATCTTTTCTTTATAACCCTTCTGTGGGGGAAATATAAAATTGCCTACAGATGGGCTTAGGGTCTTCACTCCAAACCCCCTTGTTCACACTGATATAGTTGTTTGTTTTGGATTTTTTAATACCTGATACCTGATCTTGTTGACACCTCATGATCACACAGGCTGGTGGGCTTATTTGCTCCCCTGGTGGATGGCTGCTTGTTTAACATCAAGTCTTTAAGACCCCAGATGAAATATCTTTCGATAGCCAGGCACCATCTGCTCTCTTTACCATATTTGCTTATGCACCCATTTTGTCTTCAGCAATCATGTCAGAAAGGTGAGTATCAATGAGTGCCAGGTTATTAGAACAGTGTTCTTGTGGTAAGGGAGGCCTTGAGTAGAGGTCCAAGGTCCATCTGATATCTTAATACTTTCATTATGAATTATATATTTATATATGATTTAGTATTAGTATATTTACATACATGCATGCCTATAGCTATACTTCTATAAATAGCCTTTGCCTCCTACTTCTTTCCTCTATTTCCTTTCACATTCCTCCTATCCCACTATCATGCTCACCCTATATTTGGCTCTCAGTAATTCCTCTTGGATGCAATGCACTTCCAGGCATTATACACCCTCCTTGCCATCAATGTTAGATCTCTTGTTGTTCTCTTATCCATGAGTTTGTTGGCTCCCTACTCACACTCCCCACCCCTCCTTTCCCATGTCTCTCTGGAATTGCCTTTCCCGTTGTTTTCTCCTTGGATTTGTTCATCCTGCCTACCTTATAAAAATAGACATAGGGCAAAAGGAAAACCAAACCCAAACAAAACAAGAAAAACCCAACAACCAATAGATAGTTCCAGGTTTGTCTGCTGACCTTTATGTTTGTTTTCCAATGAAGTCTGATGAGGTGCCATGCCCTATCCCCCAAATCAGAAGTCTATTTTCAGGATGTCTTGGCAACTTGGTTACTTTTCTCCTCCTGCTGCCCTGTTGCACTCCCTTTGAATTTCACCCAGCTGTGCATGGGGTGACAGCACACTTTCAGCACAGTGTCTCCAGTGCTGTCCCTATAGCACTATGGATCAGTAAGGAAACATCCTTGCTCATGGTGGGGTTGGCCCTATGGTCTTCTCTGTGCATTGGCTGCTCTGATCAGGGATGTCATTCCTGGGGCTTGGTGGGCCATGATGTGGTCCACTCTAGCTCTCTCTCTCTCTCTCTCTCTCTCTCTCCCTCTCAGTTTGCTCCCATGTGGTCTGTACAGACCCACCTCTCTACCCAGGGGATCTGCCAGCAGCTTGGTCTGAATAGATACTCTGCAGAGAGGTTTGGGCATCCCACTGTCCTCCAGAGCCTTCTCCAAATTGGGTGTTCATAATTTTTGCTCTGATACATTTCACGATACTTGAATTTTGTAATGGTCATCTTTGGATCACACAAACTGGTATGGTTCTTCTGTGTGGACTTAGTGGTTCCTTGCTTGAAACAGTTTATTTATTTTTATAAATAATTTTATTGGGGACTCTTACAACTCTTATAACAATCCATACATGAATTGCATCAAGCACATTTATACGTATGTTACCATCATCATGCTTGAAATAGTTTTAAGAAAATTGAAAACTGTATTGATGAGAAAAATACCGGAGAGTTTAACTAAGGAAAAAAATTTCCCCCATAATGAAAATACACCTGCTCATACTTTGGAGGATAGCAAGGGCTGCCCTATAAGAATTTCATTAAGAACCTTTACCCCATCCACCCTAAATCCTGGTCTTGCCCCTCCAAAGTTTTTTTAGTTCTTAATACTAACAGAATATTTAAAAGGAACACGGTTTGAGTCCTCGAAGGACACGGAAATTGCTGTTTTGATGTGTAAATCAAAGATACAGAACTCTTCCCAGGAAGGTTACTGAAATTCAAGCTCACTGCTATAGAATCAATTCCAACTCATAGAGACCCATAGGATGGGGTTGAATGTGCCCTGTAGGTTTCCAAGACTGTTAACTTTTTGTCCCAATGATGGGAAATAAAATTAAAAGTAGCAATTGTAGAAAATCCAAATTATGGAGATATTACACTCCCGTAGCAATAAATGCTGAACTAATATATCACATGAGACTGAGGAAGGAATTAAGAAGAGGAATTCTGAGGGCTCTGTCAACAATAAGATCCCAACTCCTACACCAATTCAGTGCTCTGTGCCTAAAGCAGAGAGGCATGCAAGAAGCAGGAGGGGCACAACAGGGGTGGGTGTATTTGGCCCTGGGGAGAGCTCAAGTGACAGAGCCAGGTAAAGAAGGGACACAGTGCGCCGTGAGTGCAGAGGAAGGGAAAATCAGAACATCCTCACCGCCATCCTGGTTGAGGCACTGTATGTCCCTTGAGCTGCCATCCTGGCCTCCATTTCCACTTTAGCCTGTGAGTCAGAGCAGGCCATTTGCACTGAGGGCATGAGGCAGCCATGGCAGCAGCCTGGCTGTGGGAGCCCTCAGGCTGCCCATTCAACACTAGCAGGAGAGGCGTCTCCACAAGAACATTAGGAAAGGAGTCATCCTTTCCCTTGTGCTGAATTTGGTGAAATTGAAGGTTGGGCTCAGGATGGCCACAATGTCCCCAATGAGCATGCCCTAGCACTGTACTACGTTATACACCATTACTGCATAGCAAAGTCCATCTGAATCTACCCGGCCACATGCAAAGCCACTGTAGTGAAGTTAAACACCGCCTTTCCCTGAACCAAACCAGGCTGCGGTGCATTCAGCATATGCTCATCCTGATTGAGCTCCAGGCTCATCTTCTGCCCAGAGGCTGACTGATGCGCCCATCATCACCAGAAGGGCCTAGATGTGCTGGTCGCAAGCTTCCCAGAGTGCTTGGCAACTTTTTGGTCTTTCCCTTTCCCTTGCTCTCAAGGAGGCCGGCTAGTGGATCCAGGAATGCCAGGAGCTGTTGTTTTCGTTGCCGGAACTCTGGCCAGGCAGGCGCCTCCAGGGCCTCCCTGTAGCTCTCCTCATATTTATATAACTTTGCCCTGTTCAGATGAAAGTCATCCAATTGACCTTCTCTGCTTGGGCATAGGCACTGAGGTCTTGTTGATCCGTATTGAGGTCAAGAGAAAGATGTGCATTCCCCAGGATATACCAAGAACGGCCATCATGGATATGCATCTGCATAGCCAACTTGCCCTGGAGGTCACAGTCCATGAGATAGAGTGAGGATTCAGCTCCAGGGTCAGTCCAGGGCTGTTGAAGCACCACTGACAGAATTTGCAGGGACATTTTGTTCTTGCCATGGGTGAGGGCTCCTGAGAAGCTGGTGTGGGCAGCTTCAACCTCCTCTTTCTTCCACAATACGTCACTCACCTGGTTCCAGGCTTCCACCAGCTCAGGCTCCAGCTTTAAGCCTTTGACAGAAGCTCCTCAGTTTTATGGCTGTATTCCAGAGTCACATTCAGTGCCTTCCTGGTTCGCATCAGAATATGGGCCTTTCCTTGAACAGACCCCATTATTTCCTTCATCTGCCACAGGGTCTTCCCTGTGTCCTCTCGCACATCCTGTTGCTTTCTTCCGAGCATCCTCAACACCACGAGTCTCGAAATGAATAGAGCTAATCCACCAGTCCTAAAATTTCTGCAATATTTGCTTCACTTCTTCCTCTTCATGAACTCATTCTCAGCCACCAATTATTACTCTTGAAGGGAGTAGAAAGCCTCATTCTCCCACGGAGTAGCCGGTGGCTTTGCTGTTAGCAGCCCAGCATGCAATCCATCAACTATACCACCTGGGCTCTGCCTCTGCCTGCACAAGCGTATAAACTAGCTCATTCAGGTATGAGGGGACTTCAAATGTCTATGGGGAAATTCCATCATCTTTTAGTCTCATTGGTTCATGAACTTTTTGAGGCCCCCTCATATTTTTGTGCAATAAAGAGTTTTATGATTTTGTAGCAATACTTTTGACTCACCTATTTAGTGAAGCATGAATGGAGTAAATATTGGGTCTTACCATGGCTTGAGTCTAAACAAGCAGTAGTTATGCAGTTATTATTTTTGAAATAAAGCCCCATCTCTTACTGCCATCAAGTCAATGTAGACTCATATTGACCGTATAGGACAGGGTAGAACTGACCCTGTGAGATTCCAAGGCTGCAACTCGTTTTGAGTGTAGAAAGCCCCATCTTTCTCCTGAATAGTGGCTGGTGGTTTTGAACTGCTGATCTTTCGGTTAGATGCCCAATTCATAGACACTAAGCCACCAGGGCTCCTATAAAGCCCCAGAGGGACAAAGATAAGGTGTGTGTGTGTTCATATTTTAATGTGTTAGCCATATTTATTTGTCTGGTTTGAGATCTAGTGTTTGTGGTCACTCTTTATACTTTTCTGAATTTTCACAATTCTCTTATTTTTTTCAAACGAAGGAAAAAGAATAGAGGTGAAATTAATAGGAAGCACTTAGCTGGTTGGGTTAAAGTGTTAAAGGGTTACTTAGGAAGTGTCCCACATATCTTCCAGAGGAGAACGCTAACATTGCAAATGTTTTCCAGCTTTCCCACACTTTATTATAGACCAGCAAGACAGTTGATGTATTTCAAACAGGAAGCTCTTTGCTGATAACAGTGCAGCTGTCCAGGCTGATTTGCTGGGCTGTCTGATGGCCCACTGCAGCAGCTTTCTCTCCGAGTGGTGGACTGCAGGTCAGTTTCTGTAAATAGCAGCCATGAGACTCCTGAGAGCAGTGTCCTCACAGGCCTGCGACAGTCGGGACGCCCCCTCTGCCTCCTGTGCCGCCTTCAGGTAGGAAACAATGTCCAGCTGATTTCAGCCCAGAGACCAGAACTGCTTGTTTAAACAGTGGGAAGATGTTGAGAAAAGAGGCAAGATTTCCACTAGGACTATAGGAAGGAATTAAGTTAAATGGGGAAAGAGAGATTTGTTCTTGGAATCAGGACAAGAATTAACCTATCAAATAAATTCCTCATTAGAATTCCAAAACTTTGATGAATTCAAGGTAGTGAGTAGAACATTCCTGGAATCTATTGATGAGGTACATTTGAGTTTATTAGAGCTCTTTGATGATTAAATCAAGCTCTCTTGGTTTACATAAGCTTTAAAGAACCTGAGATCCAGAGAGGCAATACATCTTTTTGCATCCTGATTCTAAGCAGCAGGGTCAGAGTGGCTGCAGAACCCAATTGATTATTTCCAAGTGCAGGGTTTCAAGTTTGGCCGAACTGTCTGAAGGTTTGGCAACATGGAAGAAAGTCACTAACTTTTAATTCAGTGGCTAGTAGGTTTGTTTTGGATTCAGTAATGGAAATGTCAGGCGAAGGGAAAATGAGAGCTGGTTAGACAGGGTAGGAGTCACCTCCAACAATTGCATTAACTAAAGCCTGCAAGGGATAGCCGCGCCTGTCTCCAATGCTCGCATGTAGGAACGAGCTGTCTTGTGAGAGCTGAGGTGATAGACTTCTAGATTTAAAAGATACAGTTTTACATGATAAAGTTCAGGGCTGTGGCTATTCAATTTAATGCTGATACCAGGCAAAGCAGGCCCCCAATCTTTCACAGTTGTTAGATTTTTATTATTTGGAAATCTTTACAATTACAAAAATCCTATATGCTAATGGCTTGTTTAAAACTAGGGATAGACAACAGGAAAAAAGGCTGTTTCTTATTTTGTGGTCTTGGACACGAGAAGAAGACTTGTGCTATTGGGGTGGAAATCTGTTTCACCAGCAAAGGCACAATAGGAAATGAAGTAGTAAAAGATTAAAAAAAAAAAAAAGGCAATAAAGCAGTGGGTGCTTCTTTGTGGAGGGCAGTGGGCAGGGGTGAGGGAGTTGTTACTTTTTCTGTAAAACGGGCTCCTTCATGCTGCCGTGGATGTGTTTCCTGGTAACATATTTGTAGTTTCTGTGAAATGCTCTATCCTGCTATATATATTTAATGAAAATGCAGAATTTTATACATGGCAACTAAGGCATATTGTTCCGATCTCCTTGTCTATTTTGTTCTTATAAAGTATTTCATTAGAGAATTCCAAACTTAATCCCTTTTCCCCCTTTTGTAAAATGGGCCCCTTTGAGTGCAGTGGGGGCCTAAGCCTTTTGGAGATAAGAATGTTGTTCTTGAAGAGATTCTGCAGGTAGCTTTGGCTTCTTGGTTTATAACATGAAATTCCTCTTCTAAGAAAGCACTCAGAAAGCAAGAAATCTGGGGAGAAGGGCTCCTTTGTGACTGTTAAGGAGCCCTGATGGTGCAGTAGGCTAGGCGCTGGACTGGTAACTACAAAACTGGTGGTTCAAAATCGCCAGCCACTCCACAGGAAAAAGATGAGGCTCTCAGCTTTTATAAATATTGGTAGTCTCAGAAGTTACAAGGAAGAGTACCACTCTGTCTCCTGGACTTCCTATAAGTCAAAGTAAAAATCAACTCAATGGCTGTGGGTTTGACTTTGGTTTTTAGTTAGGGTGTGTGGGTGCCCCTTCCCTCAGCCTCTATTCCCTGATTTCTGCTCTGATGACCTGCTGAGTTTCGACTAAGAGACAGAGCTCCTCAAGGGCAGAGACTGTGTCCTTTTCTTGTCCTATTAACTAGTGGATATTTAAATGAGTGAATAGGTGAGTAGATAAATATGAGGAAGTGAATGGTGGATGAATGAATGAGTTAATGAAGAATACTGAGTTTAATCTGTTTGGGTTACTTACCAACTCTCACTGGTTACCTCTTTTCTTGCAAGTTGCAACTAGTCTTTTATGGAATCACTCTGGAAACTTCCAGAGAGTGAGAACAATAAAAAGCATTCTGAGCCACATATTTTTCTCTTGACAGAAAATTTGTGGCTAAAAAGGAAATGTCTTTGTGAGTTATTGACATCTGAGACATTTGAAAAATATAAACCTAGCTTACCAAGAAGTGAGTATACCCATAGGCCTAACCATAAGAGTAGGTGAAATTAGTTTTTATAATCATTTTTAATGACTGCATAATGAAAGTATCCCAAAATATTTACTACTAAACAGTGGCTAATTACATTATAGTTGAGAACACTATGGAGTAATCAAATTAAAAAACCCCACTAACTGTCTTTGAATCGGTGCTAACTCATAGAGACCCTATAGGACAAGGTGGACTTTGAGAGTTTCCCAGACTAACTCTGATGGAATAAAAAGGTCTGGCTATATACTTTGCAGTGCTCCTTGTTAAAAAAATTATAAGGAACTGATGCAAGGTGTTACAGGGAATGTCAGGGAGAGGGGTTGGCAATAGGGAGGGGAAGGGGGGTTGGGTGTAAATAATGAAGGAGGGAGAGGGAACGAGCACTGCTACTGATGGTGATTGCAGCTTACTCTGGGGGTGAATCAACCATGAGGGGGAATGCTCTAGGAGGAACGTGGCAGTGATTGTACAATTTCCGCTTGAGATGATGGAACAATTGAGCTATTCAGTTGTATGATATGTAAGTTATGTTCCAATAAAATTGTAAAAAAAAAGAGGGGGTTATTGGATTTCAAGTTGGTGACAGAAGAGCAACAAACCAAGTTTAAGGGCCTTCTAAATGCAGACCTGGTAACTTGAGAAGTGGGCTAAGGAAGCACTGTATGGACATTAAACAGTATGGGAATATAGGCAAACGATAGCAGAATAGTATCAAATAGTATCTCTATTGCATGGTGAACTTCACTCACTCACTCATCTACTCAGCTTTGTTTCTGCTAAGTGCTAGGCGTGTGAGCTCTTCAGAACTCCTTACAAGTTACGTAGTTCAACTTGCTTCAAATAGGAATAATTCCCACATGGACCCAATTTTTAAGGGACTGGGGAAAGGAGTAAAGTTAAATTGATAACGATTCTTGACTGTGAGTGAAATTATGCTTCTCCTTTTGATTGTTTCCCTGCTGTTTGCCACTTGATGTGAACACAAGGGAAGATGTTGCACGGTGGGCTCCAGCACCAGTGTGAAAAGCTGCACTTGGTTGGAAAGACCAGCTGTGAGATTTGAGACACGTTGTTCAGTCTCTCTGTGTTTCACTTCTCTATCTTTAAAATGAGGAGTCCTAAAAACTTCACAAGGTTGTTTTGAACACCAAATAAGATATATGTGTTCACATTTGATGTATAATAAACATTGGCGTTTTTTCTATCAGAAAGAGATACACTTCTGTAGACATAAATATATAAATAAATAACTGAATACCTAGCGATTTAAGGAGCATCTAGATGGTCCCAAGATGCACAGAAAGCTTTGATGTACAGAAAGCAGAAAATTAAACAATTAAGAAGTGAAGCATGAGAAGACCCAGATTTCAATCCCATCACAACTAATTACTAGCTGTGTAACAATAGGCATATTATTTAATTTCTTTAATCTTTGACTGCTTAATCTGTAAGTGCTAACAACAGTCTCAATCAGTGTGGAGTAATATATGGGAGTTGCTCTTTTTAAAAAAAATAATTTTATTAGGGACTCGTATAACTCTTATCACAATCCACACATCCATCCATTGTGTCAAGCACATTTGTACATTTGTTGCCATCATCATTCTCAAAACATTTGCTTTCTGCTTAAGCCCTTGGTATCAGCAGCTCATTTTCCCCCCTCCCTCCCCACACACCCCTCCCTTATGAACCCTTGATAATTCACAAATTATTATTATTTTGTCATATTTATACTGTCCGACATCTCCCTTCACCCACTTTTCTGTTGCCTGTCCCCTAGGGAGGAGGTTATATGTAGATCCTTGTAATTGGTTCCCCCTTTCCACCCCACCCTTCCTCCACCCTCCCAGTATTGCCACTGTCAGCACTGGTCCTGATGGGATCATCTGCCCTGGATTCCCTGTGTATCCAATTCCTATCTGTACCATTGTACATCCTCTGGTCTAGTCAGA